ATGCTGATTTTCGACCTTGACCTGCGTATTATGAATATTCATCAGTTCTGTAAGTTTCAAGTCAAAAGGTAAAATGGTTTTCCACTTATCGTGTTATCGGTGCTGCATGTATGCTGAAAAAAGTGAAAAAACAGCATTAATTCCCTAATAGTGACCCGATCATGCTGATTTTCGAACTTGACCTGCGTATTATGAATATTCATCAGTTCTGCAAGTTTCAAGTCAAAAGGTAAAATGGTTTTCCACTTATCGTGTTATTGGTAAAAGTGCATGGCGACGACGGTGACGACGGCGACGACAGCGACGACGGCGACGACAGACGCAGATGATGGCTATATGTACAGACACATCTGTGTCTGTACATAAAAACAACAATACCTGTTCCTTAATCCTACAAAAGCTTTGATGTGAAGATCCACAGGGACGTCCTTGGGTGGAATGATAGGAACTCTCAGACTGGAGCTGACTCCCACATTGACTGGGTGACTAGAACATACAATAACACCACTCAGATATAGTTAATGATAGGAACTCTCAGACTGGAGCTGACTCCCACATTGACTGGGTGACTAGAACATACAATAACACCACTCAGATATAGTTAATGATAGGAACTCTCAGGATGATTCTTTCTAACAATCTGACTGAAAGCCACATCATCTATTCTCCATTGCAGTTTTCTTTTTATTTTAAAATCCATTAAATGTTTGTCTTTACAGTATATAAGAACAAAATGAAATATTTTTGACTCACACAACATAGCTCTCTCCTTCAAATATGCCCTCAGCAAATATCAGCACTGCTCTTACAACTGTGTCTGTAATGTTTGAAAAACTTATATTTGGATCTGCCATACATTTAACACATAGTAATCCCAAAACACAATATTTGAGCCAAATGCCATAAACAGAATAATCAGATGCAATGACACAATAACTAGAAATAACAGAAAATGACTTAACAATGGCAGAAAAAAATGTATCTAAACTTCACTGTTAAAGAATTTTTACACTAAAATTTAAAAAACTCACCATTTGTAGTACAAACATTCAGTTCAACATGAGGCTGAAGGAAACAAAAAATTAATAATTAATAAAAAATAATACTAATTTAATCTATTAGGCCACAAAAATAATACACATTGATTATTTGATCTGAATGTCAGTGAAATAATACACATTGATTATTTGATCTGAATGTCAGTGAAACATCCAATTTAATGAGTATAACTTAAATATATACTAAACTTGAAATAAATCTTCATTTACATTAAGTCCCCCTCAGGATGTACAAAAAGCTCTTAAATCAACACATATCATTTTTCTTAAATATCCATAATGTAACATTTAACTGAAGAAAACCCCACACAAACCCTGCTCTCAAGAACTGAAAAGCAAACTGTTAAAATTCAAGAACCAAACTCAGATACTTTGTGAAAGAAATATTTTCATCAAGCATCTGGGAGTGTGTTAGCAGTTGAAGCAGAACAGAGCAACAAGATGTTACGTGTTAGTTAGAGAACTAGAACAAGCCTGATAGTGATGCTAGCCTCATCTAGTGAAATGGGTCTTGCACTACTCAATAGGAAATACTGGCCCCTGTGGTGGTACACAGTGTGTCTTTTCAGTGGTCCCTGCACAAAAAGCACAAGTGTAGTGAGAGAGATAAAAATAGGTGACAAAAAAGTGGCAAACAAAAGACTAGATAGTCTGCACATGATCTACAGCCACCTAGATAACACTTACAGCTTTACCCTCCTTCCCATGATTGACTTGTAGAGTAGTTTGTAACTGAGTGTTAGCCTGAAATACATGTAATACTCTATTATAAATTCTCAACACTCAAATTTAAAATGATATCATTTCCAGCAGAAATTTTGTGTTGAATATATTTTCTTTTCTATGGATTACAGCGATGCTTTCAAAATTTTGATCTCCAAATTAAGTGAGAAGGTCCCCCTTCCTCACCTTTTTTTTTTCCCTCTTTTCGGGGGGAGGGGGGTTGTTAGTAAATAAAAAATCATCACAAAGATTCTGCTGGAAACACTCAAGTTCAAAATTCTTACATTTAATATGTAGTTGCCTGGATTGACAAAGAGATCTACTTTGAAATCTGTAACTTCCTACAAGAAGAAAACAAATCAAAAGAGAAAAGAGCAAAGAAAGACAATGAAATCTTGCATTCAACTTTTCAACAACTTGAATGTATAACTTTAAGACATTTTAATACAGTGTAATTAATTTTTCAATCAGATAAATACAATAAGAAGGTAAGGAAACAAGGAAAAAATCTTGATTTCCTCACTGGAATGATCCCCATCTGGCCCTGGTCCAGGTCCCCCAAGCCAGACGGTCTGCTGGACTGGGCAGCTTTCTGGTTCTCTTCATAATTCTTCAGTTCAAGGAGGAGATTCTTTAAGCAAAAAATAATACGTCTTACTGATATGTACTTTACTTCTCTGGCATGCTATTACTTAGTTGAAATAAAATATATACTTGTATAATGCCTGCTATCAATTTATCTGTTTTAATCTAGTTTCAATAAATGATCAGATATATCACTAATGCCTGGTATTGGTAAAGATCACCCCAGTTTAATGTGAAAACCGTCATTATTGTCCATATTAACCTGTTTTCTCTGGCTGAGTTCTCGGATGGTCTCCTGCTCCACGTTAGTGTCCATCAGGTTGCCCTTCATTTCCTGGGGTGCTGCTTTATAACCACGCACTGCAACATGAACACAGGATAAGTGAGAATACACTTCACCTTGACTGTTCTCCACAGTCATTGGGCTATGGCACCTTGACTGTTCTCCACACAGTCACTAGGCTATGGCACCTTGACTGATCTCCACACAGTCACTAGGCTATGTCACCTTGACTGATCTCCACACAGTCACTAGGCTATAGCACCTTGACTGATCTCCACACAGTCACTGGGCTATAGCACCTTGACTGATCTCCACACAGTCACTGGGCTATAGCACCTTGACTGATCTCCACACAGTCACTGGGCTATAGCACCTTGACTGATCTCCACAGAGTCACTGGGCTATAGCACCTTGACTGTTCTCCACACAGTCACTGGGCTATGGCACCTTGACTGTTCTCCACACAGTCACTGGGCTATGGCACCTTGACTGTTCTCCACACAGTCACTGGGCTATGGCACCTTGACTGTTCTTCGAACAGTCATTGGGTTATAGCTCAAAGCACTTTGGCTATACAAAAGTTACTTGCAGTAAAATTTCATGACCATTAAAAAGATAAACATTTATTCATATAAGTAGAAAAGTTACATATATCTTTATTGATATTATTAGCTCTAAATTCCCTCACCTTCTCCTTCTATTGAACAACAGATCAGCTGCTGTTGTCCATCCAGTCTATAGTCAGCCTGAAAAACAAGTTATAACATACACAAAAAGTTTAATCTATAATACTCATATGTGTACAATACATTACACAACATCCACTTCAAATTCTAAAATGTATATGTATTTTAAATTCATTGTAAATTTAATTCAGATGATTTTTATATATACTGTTATTTAGAAAAACTTATCCCCACTGTGGCAGTTACTTATTTTGTAATTAACTGTGTCAGACATCAACTTGACACTCTAGATTCAGGTACTTACATCAACGATTCCTGCCACGGCATTTGTGAAATTATCCTTAAACACAACTTCTCCAGTTCTGTCACTGCGGGCGTCAATCTGAAAACAAATAATACACTTTTTGGCTACCTTGTATGACTATGGACAACAACATATCTTTAGATTGAACACATTTAGGGACAGCAAGGTATATCAACATTTAGGTGTTATTCACCTTTCTATGAAAAAGGACTCCCGACTAAATAAAATGCGGAGACACATATTTTCAAATCTCAAATAAACAGCTGTACGAGTCTTACGCTGAGGATTAAATCTTTTTGAGTATATAATGGAATGTTTTACTATTTCATGGTGAACAAGCCTCCTACCTTGCCATTGCTCCACCCTGTGATCAGCTCAGGTACGCCATCACCGTCCAGATCAAAACTGTTGATAGTGACTGCCTGGTTCTTGGACTGAAATCAGATAGATGTATGACAGTAATGGCTGGCTAGAGTATTCTACTTCCTTATGAGATCTATACAAGTGACGGCTGGCAAGAAGTATCTGCTTCATAACAGCAGTTGTGATATTATTCAGAACTCACAGTTAAGGGAAAAGTTGGTTTCCATGTAGAAACTAAATAGAGGGACAGGAGCATTTTATTTTTTTATTTATTTATTTATTTTTTTTTTTTTGTATAAAAAATAAGCAAGTTATTTTCAATAGCCATTATATAACTAACACATACCACTGGGACTGGGATCAAATTACTTCCAACTGTTTATGAAAGATATTGCTATTTAAGCCCATGCACAACGTTGACAGCAGAAATTTATCAAGAAAAAATTTACCTGGAAAGTATTTCAGGTACGGTGTTTTGAATAAGTTTAAGAATTAAGTATCCCCTGTTCCTTGAAGAATACCCACCAATAGAAAATAACTGTAACCATCTTACCTTATCATGCTAATTCCCCATAGTGACTATGAATTTGAATCCCAGAGGTGGTCACTACTTACCTTAATCCTGCAGTACCTGGCTGTCCTGTCATATACACCCACTGTTCCATTGGCCAACATAAAACCAAACCTACTTACCTTAATCCTCCAGTACCTAGCTGTCCTGTCATATACACCTACTGTTCCATTGGCCAAGGCATAACCAAACCTACTCCCCATCATTTTACACAGGGATGTGATGGTCTGAAGTCAAGGGAAAAAGTCAATTGTATGAAAAAAAAATGCAATAATAAATTAATTGCAGCCTGTTTTTAGTCTATAATCTTTTGCAGAGAGGTGATTGTCTAACATTAAAAACCTTTACTTTCATAGCCAATAACATTTCAACATGCAATGGGCGTTGTCAACACAAATATTAAGTTTCAAACATAATCATGATGTTTATCTAAATTGAACAAAATGCTATTACCTCTGTCTCTGTCATTTCTGCAATGATTTCATCTTCTTTGAATATTCGGATGTCAAAGTCTTCAGATCCAACTATCAACTGTAAAGTAAAAAGAACCTTACTGATGGCTAATTTAATACTGTTTTTAAAGAAACCCATTACTCAATGAACAGAAACAAATAAATGGTAAATTACTTATGAGAACTTTATGACAATAAAACTATTCCTTACCTCATTAACTCCATCCCCATTAAAGTCTAGCATGGCCAGGGAGCAAACATTGTCACCTGTTACCTGTAACATAATGATACATTAAAGTCTAGCATAGGTGAACAAACATTAACATCCGTTACAAACCAAACAAATGAAAAAAGCACACGAAATATATTTATTCAACAAGTAAAACACAAAATGTCAAGCCATATAAATCCTCACAATGGGAAGCACTGAGGCAGACACAAAATTTTACCAAATTCAGAAAATAAATAATGCCTCACTTACTGTCCAGAAGGGGTCATTGCCCTCATAATCATATCCATGTAGGGAGCAGTTGCCCCCCACCACAGCCAGAGGGGTATCTATGGAGCCCAGGTGACCCACTATGATAGCATTGGAACCATCAGGGGTCTGAAATAATGCACATATTGAAATTCCATCTACTTTAGAATTTATGGACAAAAAATATTTTGAAAGAAATAACTACAATCATATTAATGATTATACCATGCTAAATTTGAATTATGTAGCTCTGAATTTTTTGTAATAGTAAGTTATGAAGAAAATAAACATAGCACTTACTTCATCTGACAAAAATATATTTATAATAAATGATAACAAACAATTCCTCAAACACCTCCAGTCACAATAATCAATGTATTCAAATCTAAGCATCAAAAACAAGCAAATTATTAAACTACATTAAAAGAACTTGTTGTTTTGAAATAGGTATAATACTTACATCTTGATAAAACAAGTCTGAGTTATTGTCCACGTCATAAGCCAGGAGGTTGGTCTGTGTGCCCACCATCAGGATGTCATTTGGTTTGGAAGCGTCCAGTCTCCCTGCACACACTGCACTCACAGCCTGGTTGATGTTCAGTAAACTGATGTCTGTGTCTGCTGAACCCTCCATTCTTCCTCCTCTCTCTCCACGTGTGTGAGGGTTGTGGATGAACACCTGAGAACACAGTGGAAAGGATTGACACCACTCACACTACATGTCAATTATAACTCTTTCTTCTTGCCTGACTCAATAGGGTCCTTTCTCTGGGATTACAAAGATGATGTATTTCTATAACATTGTTGTCTGCACCTGTAATATTCTACTTCTCAACCCAGACAATTCAAAATAACGTTTTATTATATTTTATTCTACTTCAGTGCTGGAGTGTTCAGTAATATTTGATCCAATTCAACAGAACTTATGGTCTCTAATATAATATATGAGTACACCTACCTTGCCAGCAGTGGTAGCACAGGTGAGACAGGGGTGTTTACCATCATATTTCCCCACAGTTACCATACGTGGGTTGATCTTGTGATTCAACTTCAGGGTGAAAATTGGAACCAGCATCTTGAAAGTTGTTTTTTTCAAAGCACTTGAATCCCTATATAACCTTTGCTGAAAAAAAAAA